TGATTTCAATACATTCATTATAATCCACCATCGATAATCTCCAGGTCACCTCAACCATGAGACTTTAAATTATTCCTCGGCACTTTTCTTGAACCATTTTTAGATGGCATAGCTGCATATTTTACCAGGCAAAGTGTATAATTCACTTTCACTAACGTGTATTTTTGACTTAGAGCGCTGTGTTCCCATTTTTTAAGTCCTTGATGATCTGCCATATAGCAAGCCCTTTATTCATGAACTATCTGGACCCACACTTGTACAATATTTTCTTTCCTCCAACTGCCCTTAGTGACCCTCTTCCTTTCTATTTAGACAATTAAATCACCATAATTTTTAAAGATATGCTTTTTCCCAATTTCATGGACTTTTATTCCTAGAAGGGGCTGATAAGGATGTGCTTATATACTCACGAAGCATATACAACGAGTTTGTGATCCTCAGCCGATGTATATTCTTTGTTCGATTTCTGAAACATTATTCACCACCATCATCTTAAACATCATGGTGTTATTCTTTTTGTAGATACGAAGAGAAAGTTGGTTTCGATGAATCTCCTGAGATAACATTGTTAGGGGGACCTTTATTTCTAATGAAAGTACATGAAGAAGAGATTCGTTGATCGATCTCACCAGATGAGGACGGATGAAACTCGTTGTACTGCAGCTAGTTGGACTTTATAAGATATTCATGTTTACGCAGTCCACGGGACTTCCTCCGTCGTATAAAATCCAATTGGTTGCAGTACAACGAGTTTCATCCGTCCTCATCTGGTGAGATCGACCAACGAATCTCTTTTTCATGCACTTTAAAGGTCCCCCTTACAATGTTATATCAGGAGAGTCATCTAAACCCAGTTTATCTTCGTATCTCAATATTATTGATCACAGATTAAATGACCAACTGCTTCATTATGCTTAATTGACATACGATAGTAACGTTTTTGTCAATTATGATTATATCTAAGCATATGTCTCTGGTCGCTACTTTTATAGGCTTTTCGATTTAGTCCCTTTTTATGATATACGTCTTTTATTTTACTTATGATCGAAACTACGGATGGAGCATATACATTTTACTGCTTATCTCCTTTTTTCATTTTAGGCGACTTGCATCCTAGTCAGTTAGAGACAGGCGATGAGACATATCCAATTGACCATCTTTCTTCCTCCGATGTCCTCGAGCCACAATCCAAGACATCCCCAAGACCCGACCCACCCTTCCTTAGTCTGGAAGAGCTTGCCGCTGGTCGACTAAGCGAGTCTGAACGCCAGGGCCTATCTGTCTTCGCCGTTCAAAGAAAGCCTGAAACCCGAAGTGGAAGCGACATGGATATCGGCAGTCAATTTCGAGGAGGCTTAGTGCCGTCCGAAGGTGGCACATCCTTGGACTGCGGCTCTATCGGTGTTTCATCCCGCCTTTACGTAAAGAATGTCGCTCGTTCCGTGACTGTTGAGGACCTGCGCCAGGTTTTTGGAGGTTTCTCAACCAGTTTAAATAGGCGCTTTAGTGCTACTGGTGCTCACCCTCTGGAGCAGCATTTATCTGGCGCCGATGACCACTTTGATATTCAATATTTTACCCATGGTCGTATGAAAGGTATATAAATTAAGATTACCCCCTTCTTGTTTTACGTTAATTTTCCTCATGCTCTGCTATTTCTTCGTCCTAAACTGCCAAAATACTCCAAAAATAAATAATTTATTTAATAGTAATAGCTTACCTTAGGGCACTCTTATTGTACAGGCATTGATTATATTTTTCACGGTCACCTGGTCAGACTGTTTGATTTTACTTTTGAATTCCATTCTACAAAATAAGCCTCACATTGAAGGCACCACATTTTTTTCTTAATCTAAGGTCTAGTATTACTAAATAATCTCTCCAAAATCATTGAGGACCACACAAATCTATGGATCATTACTGTCTTGTTAAAAACTGTAGGCACATCATTTTTTGATCTTAATTCTTGGCACTCCTTAATCCTCCATCAATGAGCCAGAACGAAGTTTTGCCACTTCATGTTAACGTACTTTCTGCAAATAATGCTTTTTCATTCATTCAATGGAAACCTAGATCTCATCTTGGCCCCTATGGACCTGACAGACAATGGCCTGAAGCTCTAGAGATATATTGTACATGAAAGGTATGCATGCCTTCCTAAAATCATCTCTGGACCTGGATATCCGAGGAGTAAAGCGAATTTTTGATGTTGGAGTACCTTCAAACCTACTTCCTCCCTATGGTCTAACTTGTTCCACTTAGGCATCACATATTTGGGTTAGATGTCCTATACTTTTCCTCTATGTTTGCTCATAAGTTAAGCGCTTAACGTGTGTAATTAAAACCGAATAGCTGCATTCTTCCATAAAACACTTGTGCCTTTGATCCTGCATTGTTACCGCATGTGATTGCTTCCCATTGCACACGTGCTGTGTGAGTGCATTGCTCTTGAAATGAGTGTGACTAGAGTCAAAATCAGATTCCAGCTTAAAAAAGTCTCCTCTTGCTTGATGGTACTTCTCGTTCCCTGCCCTCTTTCTCTCTAAACCTATCCAACAGCCACACGTAGTTTTCGCTTAACTTTCTACACTCATTTCTTCTATTCAGGGTTTTGGCTGTTTTGTTGATTTATATCGCCTCCCTAATCTTTACCTTAGTGGTTGGTATAGTACCCATATCCAGCTAAGCGTTTGGCATTAGACCAGTCTATCTGGTGTCCTGCGCGAGCCACGTGCTCAGCCAATTACGATTTTTGGACCCACAGACCTTTGAAGACTGTTTTGTGTTCAGATAACCTCCTATGTATGGGCCTACGGGTCTCTCCCACAGACACTATCGCACGAACATAATATTGTAACAGCTCGATCTGGAGAGCGGGTCGGAGTATTCTCGAAAAGAAGGCATTATCGAGGATGGTGTTATTTTCTCTTTATAATTGGTCCTGTTGTCTCACTTCAGTAGTTCGCCTATCTTCTTCGACAGATTACAGATTCTCCTCAGTTCTTTCTCCAGATGCTTAACATCCACCAGACGCAGGCTCTATATTAGCATAGACGCCATAGCTCCAAGAAATTCAAAAGGAAGCCTGGATTTATAGGTTTTTTATACACATCTATACCTAATCTGGTCCCCTCTTTGCTAACTAGGACATCAAGAAAAGGTAAACTACCTTCCATTTCTATCCCGATGGCGTATTTTGTCTTCCCATCCATCCTGTTATTCAAACCAAGAGAATTTTCCAGGTTTCCTTTGCTTTGTTGCCAAATAGCAAAGTAGTTGTCCATGTAGAGAACTAGTAATTTAGGAACTAAAAGTGCCTCATGAATTAAACGTTCCTCAAATTGAATCATACATTTTTTTTTAATTGGTGGCAAGCACGATCCCATATCTAAACCTCACGTTTGTTCGTACAGTTTACAATTAAGAGTAAAATATGTGCAGGGCGTCGCTAAGTTGGTCAGTATCATTATGGACCCTTTAATTAACTGTGTGCTCATTACAATCTCTGCGTGTTGGCCTGGTGTGGATGGCAGGGCCTGCATGGCATCATCTTCAGTAATGACTCAAAATCAAAGCTTACCAGCAAATGCCCACTCTCAATCTCCTATTCGTCGACTAAGTTAACGAATTCAGAAGAATCTTTAACTAAGATCTTCCACGTCTCGGAGATTTGCTTTTACTGGTCACAAATAAATCGTGATGTTATATGCCTCACGCTTCCCTTATCATTCACAGTAATTTTAAGTGACACTCCATCCTTATGCATTTTTGGCGCCTAGCATGTCGTTGAAGAAGCGTGCTCATCTTCCACTCCTTCAGTTACCCGTTTATTACACAATGCTGCAGGCAACCCCTGTATCTACACTTAGAGGTTTCTCTAGGGTCCCTACTGCTCACTTAGTATGTGGTAGTGTCATCCAAAGCATCAGTCATCTTTTCTACATAGCTTCTCTAAAAGATAGTCGATAAAACTTATGAGTTACACAAATATCTCCTCCCCATTATCTTTACTATTTGGCAAAGCATGATTCAAGCATTTCGAGAGCGCTTCCTTGGTGGTAACGACCAATGCTATTTTGGAGAGTTTTACCACTTTCTCACCAACTATCTTTTGCTCCCTATTGTCTTAGACGTATTTTGATTGTCCTTTGTCCTAATTCTTATACCCAAATTCCTAAGTTTATTATGTCTGTATCTAACCTGTTGAAAAACTATATCATACAACCTGTCCGATCTTTGTGATTTAGAGAAATTGTACGGCTAAGAGTATTCCCCAATGATTGGCATAATCTGGTTTTTATCATTATCAAGGAATGCAGTTTTATAATATATAATAATAGTAATTATTATAATTTGCGTGGGTATTCATATTAACTAAATCCTGGGCTGCTCTGAAGGACTCGCTTAATTCTTTTAGGCAAATTTGGTCTATCAATAATACAAAACCTAGGAACAACTATACGAGAAAAACATAACTTCAAAAACCAATATGATTGACTTACTGGGCCCATGCTTTCTTGGTCTTAGTGTAAAGTGATGATTCTCGAAAACTTTGTTATCCGTATGCACTACGTAGGTATGTAGAAAAACTGGGTTTCGCAGCCTCAAGGCAATCCCTCCACAGCTTCCGGTGGACCCCCTTCCACTAGCCTCTTCAAACAAAATGAAAGGTACTCCAACATCAATCTATTAAGAGATTCTTCGAAGTCCAGTTATTATACAAACCAAAATTTTATCTGTTTTATTGGAATTTATGCCACAATCCAGAGGCGGCTCCTTATGTTGCTTTAGCTAATCAAATTTTTCGCAAAGGTCATTTTTTCAAACTGCGATTTAGTATCACATTCGTTCTAAATGATGAAATTTCTACATAATTTATTACTCTTTACACTCAATGTCACTCACTCTTTTTCTTTGTTTACCCCTGATTCTTTCTTCGTCTATTTCAGGTCAAGCCTTCGTTCATTTCGCAAATCCGCACGAGGCTAGTGCGGCTCT